AATGAGGTCCTCGGGACAGCCTGTCTTCTTAGAGCCACCCAAGCAGAAGTCACAGTAGCCATTGGGGATGACCGTGCCATCAGGTGCCTTCTTGGCTGAAAGACAGCAGGCGAGGTTGACGGAGGGGCAGGCAGGGCACTCAAGCCAAGGCTGCTGCATTCTTCAGAGCAGAGGGAGGCGTCCCTACCTGTGTGTTTCCTCTGTGCCTCAGGGACCCAGGCCAATTCTTTGTAAAACTCTGGGGGGTGAGGGGACAGAGAGAGGGGCTCTCACCATAGGCAAGGCTCCATCCTGCCCTCAGCCTCAGCCCCAGGGGTGGACCCCTTGGTCCAGGCATGGGGGAGGTGGGGAGAAAGAGTTGCTACCCTGAGCTGTGGCCAATAAGAGAGTTGGGGGTAAATAATTTAAATTGGGACTCCCCAATTCTTCACGAAGGGTCACTGGCATTTCATCTTCCATGGATGAAAGCTTGGCAAAGCCAGCTGTAAGCAATTCCTCCACCTCTTTACTCATACATACTAACTCAGTGCTAACTCAATAAAAATTCTGGAAATACCACTGACCAAGATCTGGTATGGAAGCAGACAGACATTCTGCGGGAAAAATCCTGAACTCAGAGATGCCTGAATGTGTGGTGGGGGTGGGAAGGCAGGTTCCTTCACAGGCTGAGCGTCCCCCTTCCTGAGATATCCTCCCCCCTCCCTCAGCTGTCAGGGTTGGCATGGGACTGGCATGGGTGGACACCAAGGGCTCCCAGACCATAGACCCTGCCCCTTGGCCAAAGCTTAGCCAAGGAGGGAAGAAGGGAGGCCGGGAGGAAGGGGAATCATCTATCACCCCCCTCCCCAAGCTCTAATTGAAACAATAAATCAGACCCAGAAATATTACGCCCGGCCTGGAGCGGGAGAGATGGTTGGTTGCCATGGCAACCCCGAGCCAGCATCCCCCATGGTTGGTGGGGGGAGGGGACCGCAGAGCTGGAGATTTTCCAGAAATGTCTTCCATGCCTGCCCCCCAGGCTCCTCAGACCCCACTCCCAGGGCCCCAGCCCCGTCCCACCCCCCACCTGGCCTGCCTGCTCACGTTTATGGTTGTTTTTCCGGTGGAAGGGCAGGGCGTGGCGCTCCGTGTTCTCCTCCCCCTCCTCCTCAGCCAGGTGGGTGTGGGTGTAGTGATAACTGAGCCCCGGCCGATTCTTATATCGTTTCCCACAGACTAGAGAGTGGGGAGGGCTGGTCAGCCCCCTCCCAGCCCGGCCTCCAGATCACACCTCCCCCTCTGCAAAAACCTGAGCATCCCCCCACCCCCAAAGCCCAGGCCCAGAATTGGAGGGAGGGGCCAGGAGGGGAGAGGTCTCTGGGCCCCATTATCTCTCTCTCCCCCTCCTCAGAGACTCACTATCGCAGACATACGGCTTGTCTCGGTCCTCCAGGGAAGCGGTGTCCTGGCGTTTCCGGAGACCCCCAATGCCATACGCCTGGGGGCAGAGTCATAAGTGAGGAGACAAGAAAGAGGGCACTGGGAGAGCTGTTATCTTTGGGGCTTGGGCATCAATCAGCGCGAGGCGCTTTCTAGCAGCAGAGCCTTGAGTAACTAACCCTAACCCCTCTCAACCTGCTCTACCTTATCTGTAACACAATGCAACTCTAGTTCTAACCCACTGAGCAATTTCTGTTTGGAGATGACTTAATCTACCCGAGTCTCAGTTTCCTCCTCTGTAAAATGGGTATGAAATCCCTGCTAGACCTCAGGGTTTCTGTGGACACTGAATTAGGCCAATGTTCAGGGCAGGGTCTTGACCAATGTTTCTGCTCCATAAGCAGGACCTGTTATTAATAGAAGCAGCGCTGGGGAGAAGTTTTGGGGGTGATGTGGGATGATACCTTTCCTTTGGCTCTGTTTTTCCTCCTGGGAATGTCATCTTCCAAGTCTTCCACCTCAAGGTCATGTGGAAACTCCAGCAGTTGCTGTTTCTGGGCAACAAGAGAAGGGAAACTGGGGTCAAGAGAAAGGGAGAGTACTGCCCTGTTTTGAGGGAGGACTCTGGGAAAAATCGGAACTCTTCCACAAACAGATGGGGTGAGAGGAGAGGGACCTGGAATGCATGAGGCCTGAGGGAGCCTGGGAGGCTGGCAAGCAGGACGTAACGGGTAAGAGGCGCTGGGCCTACCTGACAGTCCATAATGGTCTCCTCATCCTTCAGTTCAATTTTTTTCTCCCCTGTCTCCGCACACAACAGAGCCTCGAGGACCGGCCCTTCCGGGAGGCCACCCTCCTTCTTCAGGGGAGCTTCACAGTC